TAATCGGTCTATTTCAAATATATACATTGTAGAAAGGGTATTATTTCAATTTGGCTCAGCCATTATACTCTGCTCTTGTCAACCGCAAAAAATCAGTGACTGTTTTTTATCAGAGTTCACTTGGATTATACTATTTTCCTGGTTAACTTGATTAATCTGATTGCCAAGAAATTTAAAAGCATCATTTTTGGGAAGTTGTTTGTGTACTATAGGTTACACTATAATTTCTGTCAATTTTAGATTTTACCAGACCATTTTTCGCATTTCTCTTGAACAGGTTCAGGGTATGGAAACCTCAGTAGCAGTTCTGTTGCCGCCATTACGCCAACTCCAACAGCTGCCGGGACACCAGCTTCCACACCTGTACCTACATACAGCACCTCACCATCACCTACACCCAATCCACACAGGCAAAAGTGTCTTAAAATACGGCAGAACTCATACTATTGTACTGGCCAATATACCAGAATGAAGGCTGTTTGCAAAGACGGATATTGCGTCTGCACTGGTCAAGGCTACAACTATGACACCTGCTTGCGTAAGTTGTTTTCTTATGATTTCCATAGATCGCAGGTAGAATAAGCTGACGCTCAGATGCCGACAGACGACGTACAAAGGTGCCAAGACAAAGATATAAACGCATTCCACAGCCCGATTTAGCATTTTATTATGTTGACTCAAAATAACTTTTTTAGAAAATAGAGCCTATAGTTTTGAAGGAGGTTCCACACTGTGCTGTTTAGGCCCTCCCTGATTTTTTTCTTAGAGTATGAGGTCGCATTATTGCCTGAATAAAACACTGGCACTTAGCGAAAATCCATAAACACTGTTTGAAAAAGCGCCTTAAGATTGGGAAACTTACCAAGTTTAAAGGTAATACGTTAAAGCAACAAAGATATTGCTCCTTAAAGTCGCGAAATTTTACAAAGTTTGTAACGTGTGCTCGAACTTCCCCCCAAGATCCAAACGTCTGTAAAATTCGGCGGCTTTGCACAGCAATATCCTTGTTAATGTTCAAGAAATCACGTTCAAAATTGGCATCTTCATTATTTTTAAGGCGTTCTTTTTAGCCGTGTTTACAGATTTTCGCTAACTGGTCCAAGTTAAAAGTTGGAAAAACCGTGGAAGGGTTTATTAAAAGAAGAAGGATTGGTTAGTCACCACAGTACCACCAGTGATGCAGGAATCCCAAACATCAACTCCATCTCTGCATCTCTGATTGTGATTTTTTTGTTCTATTTATGCTGGTTATTACACTGGTAACTTTTTCATTTCTTCAGCTGATGCATATGGATGTAAAATAGAGGTGAATTCTGCTACAGCTCTCGCCAAACCAAACAACCAACAACAACTGGGCTATTCTACTTATAGTTGCACGCCTAGCAGCAGTTCCACACAGTACGAGGTCCATGTACTGTCTGTGTACGAAGTTATTAACAGGCGTCCACCAACAGCCGGTAACGCAAATGTGAATATCGTCAGTCGTGGAAAGTCAAACAGACCTATTGTACTCGTACTTGCAAGCTACGAACCTGTTAACTGGATTCTTCATTTACCCACTGGTATTTCCATCAGTAAAATTGTATTGGTAAGGACATTCGCACACCATGAACTTAAAAGGAAAAAAGTCATTCTACCCAGAGACCTGTCGTTACGCAATTTTCTCGACCAACAGCATGTCAATCAGGGCGGATAAAGGTTGGGCGGTGAAACGAGCGCTCCGCTCTTCATTTAATGTGTGATGCGGAGTAGGACTGGCACGAGCGCTCTTTCCGCGCTTCCGGTGCGCTTGAAGGCCGGCGAAATTTTCCTTTTTACAAACCGGAAATCCTATTTTCTTTCTGTAATTTTAGGCCAAAATGTTAAATAGATAAATTCGTTTCATAACAATATCAATAAACAGTTTCATATGTTTGTGTCTGTACGTCTATAAGTCAAACTTGTTGGTCGTATATAAGCCAAAATTTGAGTTTAATTTGAAAGTGTTGAATACCTCCTCCTTCCACTAAATATCACCTAATCGTCTTTCCCCGTTTCGTTTGCAAAAGCTTAACACTTGTTAACCTCAATTTTTACATATGTTAAAGGGGGATAAATTTTATACAACATAACAAAAAATTAGATTGATATATATTGATATAGTGGCGTTGTACTTCTTCAAACTTTGCTTCTCGGGTG